AGGATTGGAGAGACTACATTAAAATGATGAATCGGACTGGAATGCTTAAAACTTTGTCACTTGATAGCCCCGCTGATACACTTTGGGCTTAATCTGATTTTTAATATTTTCTGTGTTCTTGTTCATCTTGGGGTTTATCTCTCTTGTATTTTGTCATTATGGGTAGCCTTCTTGAATCTTGTTATGTATTTTTCTATGTTTCTCAGTGTATGAAACCCAGGACAGGTGAATCCACAGATAGCAACTAAAAAAAGGGTTCCTGGGGTGTATGGAGGGGGAGGTAGGGATTTAAGGGGGAGCTAATATCAAGGAATCCAAGAAGGGAAAAAAATGGTTTGAAGCTGATTGCTGTAGCAATTGTAAAACACTGTTTGATACGATTGAACCATGCATTCTATGATGTGTAGATTAGGTCCTAATAAAATGGTTTGGTAAAATAAAGGCACAGAAGGGGCCAAGAATGTTATTCCATCCAATATCATTGTTGTTTGTTTAAGTGCATATTAACCTGCATATTTCCCTTGTTAGCAGCTCAGGAAAAAATAGTGTTTAACATGCAATCCTTTCTTCCTAAATCTCGAGTGTTTAGATGCAAAACAATGTGTGCCAATGGAAAAATCTGCATTGTCTATACTCATCCTTCTGTTAATGTGACTCTGATCCTGTGGAAGCTATAACCTGACTGTAAAATCTAAATAATTCACAACAATGGAAAATTCTGACCCCTAGACACATGTAAATTATGTCTTGTCCCAAAGAGGAAAGCAAGGCTTAAAGAACGTAACATACTTTCTCTAAAGTCACAAAGCTAGGAAGACGGGTAACTGGCCTGCTCAGAGATATGTCCTCTTCTCGTCCTTCATATCCGCCTCACCTCCCAGCTCGTGGGTAGGAGTTGAAGTGGGTATGTCAAACTCAAACTTTCCCTAAGGTACTATGTTGCCAGAGACCAGCTTTGCCTTTTGGGACTGGTGTCTGAAAGGATGCCTTGATCGAGCTCTAAACAAATTGCCACGGAATGGAGAAGTTCATGTTCCACGGACTCCCCCCTGCAACCCTTTGTAATTGAGATCGTGTGGCGGCTCTAGACACATCATCTGAGATGAACCCAGGCACTCTAGAGGTGGTCATGAAGGCTATCTAGGCTACCCTTCGTTTTTGCTCATGAACTGTTTGAAATGAAGATTACAGTTCTGTCTACTGCAAACAACATTTTTGAGAGTTTACTGCCAGGGAGCAGGAGCTGTTTGTAATTGTGATACTGACTAAAGACAGTCCCTCCCCCCTTTCCCTCTCAAATTGGTTGCTGTGTTTATATTGCGAAAGAGGTGACGTTGTGGAGGAGTGAGAGCAGATTGCTTCCCTAAGCCTGGGTTGGGATCTACTATAATTCCTTACACTTTGAAAAATATTCATTAAGTCCTTCTGCACTGCTGCTATCGCTAATCTTTTTTCAGGCAATGAGATACATATTCTGTAAAAGGGAGAGGTATTCAGTACATAGCATATTGGAGATAAATGACCTGGGGGAAGCATTCAACTACTGGCTGAAAGGTTGACGGATCAATCCCACCCAGAGGTGCCTTGGAAGATTGGCCTGGAGATCTACTTCTGGACAATCGCAGCCTTGAAAACCCTATGGAGCAGTTCGACTCTATATCCATAGGTTTCCAGGAGGCAGAAACAATCCCATGAGAACGAGCAAAAACAACAAAACGATGTTTTATTATACGTGGTTGTGGTCATGTGTGCTAGGTAAGTTCCAGTGGAAGACATTCTGAGAAGATAATCTATTGCCTTCAAGTTGCTGCCACCTGAGCATTTCTAACCAGTGGAGGTTGTGGCAGTGTAAAAATCGGAGCACCACAAGGAAGAGATGAGCCAGTCAGGGTGCAGTATAGCACTGATGCAACATACAACTTTCTTCTAGTTCTTTAATGCTCTCCCCACCCGCAACTATCATGACACCAGTTCTACCTTACAAAAATCTGGCTAGACCAGAGGATGAAAACTGGTACAGATAGGAGCTCGCAACACAGAATCCAGGACAGATGAACGAACCCCTCAGGACCAATAATGAGAACAGTGATACCAGGAGGGGAGGGGAAGGTGGGGGAAGTCAGGGGGAACCGATCACAATGATCTACATATAACCCCCTCTCAGGGGGTCGGACAACAGAAATGTGGGTGAAGGGAGACATCGGTCAGTATAAAACATGAAAATATAATAATTATAAATTATCAAGGGTTCACGAGGGAGGGTGGGGGAGAGAGGGAAAAGATGAAGAGCTGGTACCAAGGGTTCAAGTAAAAAGAAAATATTTTGCAAATGATGATGGCAACATATGTATAAATGTGCTTGACAATGGGTGGATTGTGATAAGAGCTGTCCGAGCCCCCAATAAAATGATTAAAAATAAAAATAGAACCACAGAGCCTTTGATATCTTCTCTGCCTGAGGTGGCATTTGATTCTTTTCTCTTTAAGTATGGGCTAGACTTAGTGTCTGCTTCAGTGACTAGAACGAAGCTGAGGGGATTGTGTGCAGCTTCAGATACTAGGTCATAAAAGGCCCTGCATTTTCCATCTTGTTTATTCTCTTGAATCCCTGGCTCAGGGATGGGAGGGTGGCATTGGGTGGATATTGCCAATAGCCAAATAAACCAACCATTTTGGAAGTGGATCCTTCTGTCCCAGTGGGATCTTCAGATCACCGAAGCCCCTGTCAATATCCTGACAGCAACCATATGAGCGACCCTGAGCCAAAGCACCAAGTTCCACGGCTCTGGAATTCCTGCCCCCACCCTCCAAAACTGTGAGATGATAAAGGGTTGATGTTCGAAGCCACTGAGTTTTAGGAGAGATGGTTTCACAGTACAAGCTAATCAAGACTGGTTAGAAGTCTCAGAAACAGCCAGCGATGTTTCTGAGAAAGGCTTTGCTAGGGGACTGCTTGCTTGCTGCTGCCGTTTATGTATCTGTTTGGATACTGAGGAACTGGCCAACTCATTTCATTTTCCATCCCAGTGTGAAAACCGGGGTCTTTTGTCATTTCAGCAATATGGACCTGCTTAGATCCCTTGCTATTCTGCACACTCAGCCAAAATATCACCAAAGGACATGCATTTTTCCCTTCCTCAACAAAGATTGCTTCATGTTCGTTGGCTCTCCAGCATGATGCGAAGTGAAGAATGAGGACGTAAAGACAAACGGGACACTTTGCCTCAAAGGGCTCAGTATGTAGTGGGGGAAGTTGACTGGTAAACACATACTTTATACCACCAGTGTGATAAATGTTTCTCCAGAGATAAGAACATGCAATTTCATTGTATTGCAGAGGTTTGAGAGGTGCATAGGAGGTTTCAGGCAAAGAAGAATGGTAGGGAAAGGGGAATGCATTCCAGATTGGGGCAGGGGCAAGGGATGCAAAGTCAATGAAAACTACTAGATGTAAATCAAGCTGATTCTTATTTAAGCTTTTACTGAGGATGGAAATCTTTACAAAAGCAGATAGTCTCCTCTTTTCTCCTTCCATGACGCTGGCTGGTGGATTTGAAATAGAAGATCAATACTTAACCCACTGTGCCACAAGGACATAGGACAAATTTGGGCTGTCCTTTAACACTTCAGTTCGCCCTGCCTGAGGCTAAAGGGATGGTTAGTGATAGACATTGTCCTGTCAATGTGAAGCAGGCCAGATAGGCTCCTGTTCTAGGGAAAGGGAATTTCAAAGCTATCAGAAACCTCGGGCTGCTCAAGCTTCCCTGGGTGGAAGAAGAGATCAAAGCCCCTTCTGCTCTTTCTCTGAGACTCTCAGGTTAGATGAATTCTCATGGTGAACCCTGAGCTGCAGGAAGAGAGAATGCATAAGTCTTCTGGACCGGATCATTTCTTTTGAGTGAAAAACTCAAATTGCCTAAGAGTCCATTAGGGAACCCTGGTGGCATTGTGGGCTACAAATTGTGCCGTGAACCGCAAGGTCAGAAGTTCTAAACCATCATTCACTTCAAGGCAGATAGATGAGGTTTTTCTACTTCTGTAAAGAGTTATAGTCTTGGACACCCACGAGGGCAGTTCTACCTTGTCCTATCGGGTCGCTGTGATTTAGAATTGACCTGATGGCAGTGAGTGTTCTTGGTTTTGAGTTCACTAAGCATTTGGACTTGGATTTCTTTAGCATTTTATTGGTAAAAACATTTGCTGTACACACATGGAAAACATTGCCTTTTAGAGCAGTGCTCCTCATAGTGCAGATCCAAGACAAGAGTAGGAGCTGGTGTTAGAATGTCAATCAACACACTGCTACTTGAATAACATTGTGCTATGAAAAGAAAAACTCAGCTGAGCCAAATGGTTTGCTCCGAGGCAGTTGGCACAAGCTCCCAACCTCACCACAAACTGATAACAAATAGTTTATGGTTTGGCAGTGGTCCATGGGCCACATTTGAGTAATACAGTTTTAGATCACCCACTATCTACTGAATAAAATCCTATATGACAAATCTCTTGGATTACTTTCAGAACTTGGTCTGTGTTTTCTTTTCTCCTTGTACAAATGATGTGATTTATGTGGTTTCCCTTTTTGTTTGGGCTTCTAGGAAATTCAGAGTCAAACGTGAAGTTCAAGGGCAATAACTAAACTAGGTAGAAACTGTTGAATGGCACTATATGCCTTCTTGTTTTTTCATTCTGCTCTTCTTGTTTAATTTCTCATTTCGTTCTCTCTTGATGATATCAGTGAGGATGACGATGATGACAACCACGAAACAAGCATTACAGCAAGCATGGCAAATAGACCAGGCTTCTGATCCGCATCCATTTCAATAGAATCAGAACTGTGGCTGTATCTCCATGACCCCATATAAGTGTACCTGTTTTGTTCTCAGAATTGATAGAATTGGTATCAGGGAGACACAGTGCTGTTCATGAGAAACTCATTCCTCTGCATGCACAGGACATCTGTCTCCATAAGCGTGCACAGTTAGAAGAAGGCCACTCACCGTCTTGGTCGTTACCTGAGTCAGCTGGAGACTTGCTCCGACGCATAGGACCAGGGCTCTTGGCTGAACTCTTCTGGGGTGTTGGGGATGCCTTTGGGCCAGCTGTGGCCGATGGGTTTCCCTTCATGACTCGGCATTCTGAAAGAAAAGCACATAAACAGCTCAGTAGAGCCAGGGAAGAACCGAGGCCTCTGGGACTTGGAATAGCTTCCATAGACCCAACACCTAAATGGCCTAAGTGGCTCTCAGTGTCAAAAGGAATGATCGCTCTGGGGAGGGATGCAGAAGACACACTTTCAAAAGTCACCTGGTCTAAGCCAAGTGTTTAAATTTCTAGATTATGGAAACAAAAGGAGGAATTCCAAAGCAAAGTAAGCTAGCAATTCAACAGCAAACCCAGTCAGTCGTGTACCACCTAGCCATGCCACAGCCCAGCACTTGCTGCCATAATTTTAATTAATTTGATCTTAATTCATTTCCATGGAGAAGAAATAGACAGCTCAGAGTTTGGGGCTATGAAAATAAGTAATTTAATTCTGAGTAGTTTATAAGAGGGGTAGAGAGTTAGGATTTATTGTTGTCTTGTTATCATGCGTTGTTATTGGCACTTTGTGAATGTCATGTCATTTCATGTTATATGAGCATCGCCATCCTCTCGCAGTTCTTTTCTGTTTCCAACACACACGATCATAATTGCGGGGGCAGTGGGCTGAGAGCTGGGTCGCCAATGGAAAGATTGGCAGGTCAAACCCACCAGTGGCTTTGCAGGAGAAAGGTGAGGCCTTTGCAGGAGAAAGATGTACAGCCTCCGAAACCCTCCAAGGCAGTTCTCCTCTGTCCTACAGGGTCACATGGAGTAGGAACCAACTCAGTGACAATGGGTTCATGCTGATGTCATGAATCAACTCTGCCACTCAATTTATAGAAAGCTTGTGTTGTGTGCAAGCAGCTGTCAAATGTCCCTGCCACTTGTCCTAACCCTAGTCTGGTGCATCTGAAACACTGTCTCGATGCAGGCCAATCAGCATCCCCTGCTTTGTAGGATGAATCTGGACATGGATGCTCGATGCTGTTGGGTTGATTCTGACTCATGGCAACCCCCTTGTTACTGAGTCGAACAGGTGCTTCATAGGGGCTTCCATGGGTGATTTTTATTTGGAGCTAGATTGCCACATGTGTCTTCCAAGACCCCTTGAGGTAGACTCGAATCTCTAGTGAGCAGCCTAGGCATTAACGGTTCAGATCACCCAGGGCCTTGAGCACTGATAGTGATAATTGACTAGGAGAAGTAAATTAGGAGGTGGTGTCAGGAGAAGAATTACACTCATTTCTTGATGAGGATACTAAGCACTTTCATCTCTTGTTTAGGGATGGACAGCAAAAGCGTCAAAGCACACGGCTAGAATCCAGCTCTCCTGAGTCTGTCATGTGCTTTCTCCATGACAATTTTCTTGATGCTCAACGTGTAACCCAAAAAGCTAGTTAGGGCTTAGGACACTTTCATGTTGCCTCCCACTTAAAGGTGTATGGCCATATCAATTATCCAAAAATATTAGAAGATTTGTGCTCATCCATTGAGTGTTGTGGAAACCTGGAATAATCTGAAGGCTCTTTTCTGAGTCTCTCCCCTCTTGTTTGGGTTGACTACGAATCATTTTCCACTTTAGTGATCAGGCCCCAGGCTGGGACCGGAGACGGTGTGGGAAATTGGAAATTGCCTGGAGTTGGTTTAGCTACTTCATGGTCATTTTCCTTCTCAGAAGGAACACAGCAAAAAATGTCACCTCCACCAGGAAATTGGTGACTGGAGTTGTTTATAAAGCTTCTACTAGCGAGAACACTATGGTTTTTCCCACACTCCACTCCTCCTAAGTAGCCACATGTATCAGATGTGTCTTTCCAGGATGGTCACATCCCAACCTGAGGCAATTCACCATTAACTTACACAGGGACCTTGGCCTCAAGGCCAAGGAGATGGGCAGATATCCTGCTCCTTCCTGGGATGAACAGTCTCCTGAACCACATAGCCCAGTGAAATGGAACAGTAAGTCCAAAGGTGGGGAAAGCGAAAACTCTTGACACCGAGTACAATAAAATGTTGACACTAAATGTTTTAAAAATATGCCTAACAGCTGGAAGGTGTCGACAGGAAACAGGTATGAGGATGCTATCCCTACAGTTTCAATTGCACATACGATCTCTGTGCACCTGTCAGCCCATGTGGCATAAGACGTGGTTCTGGAAATACAGCCACTATTGAGGCAGGTGTGGTGGGTTTTATTGCATCTGGAGGTTGGGCATCTGGGATCCTCAACCTTTCTCGTAGTGAGCAACCTATGTGTCCCAAGTGTGCAGGATACAGGTGAGAAAAACTGCCCTTGAGGAACCCTGCATGGAGGTTCTCCAGATCTTATGGATCCACCCATGGAAACCCCAGGGGATGGACCCAGAGAGGCCACAGATTGATGGAATCCACAGGTTGTCCTTACCATTTTCATCCAGGGAAAAATCATCTTGGGCGTAGCGAAATTTTTCAGGACCACAGGCAATAAACACATCATCATCACCAAAGAAGTCGTGGAGACAGGTAACCTATAGAGAAAGCAGAAGCAGAAATACTTGTTTGCCATTGGAGGATCTTGTGACAATGAACCGAACACTATGTTGACAGCGGAAAAACTTCACTTGTCTGCCATTATTTCCAGCCAACATAGAGATCCCCCACCCCCACTTTTCAAAAAAAAGAATACCTACCACATTCAGTCTGTAAAATGGCCATCAAAAAACTCAAACTCCTTGCCATCGAGTCAATTCCACCCCACAGTGACCCTATCGGACAGAATAGAGCGAGCCCCCTGGGTTTCCAAGACTGGAACTCAGTGCAGGAGTAGAAAGCCTTCTCCTCCTGGGAATAGTCCAACGTGTCACCTACTATGCCTCTAAGGCTCCGCAATTGTCCACAAATCCAACAAATAAAAGCCAAACTCACTGCTGTCGAGTCGATTCTGACTCATAGAACAGGGTAGAACTGCCTGGGTTTCTGAGACTAGAACTATTTATGGGAGTAGAACCCCCCCCCCCTCTCCTGAAGATCAGATGGTGGTTTTGAACCACTATACCACCAGGGCTCCTAGTGAGAGATTATATATTGAGGGCTTACTTACTGGGGATCATTGTCTTTCAGTGTGGCCCATTGTGTTCACTGTACCAAGATTATGATTGAGACCATCTCCACATGGGATGGGGAGCCCTCCCTCTGAAGACAAAGTCAGCAGGTAAATAATGCTACAAATATCATCTTTTCGGAGTGTTCCAAAGTCAGGGTGGTCCTTACCTAACACTGGGGCCAAAGGTCTAGGCTGAGGCTGATGAGAAAGAGCTGAAGCGCATGGTTAGTAAGGCACTGTGGCTTACCAAGAAAAAAAGTCCTCTCTTTGGCATGAGTTCTCAAAGAAGGATTACATTCTAAACTGCTCCTTTGGGACATCCCAAAATTGGACTTGTGCTAAAAATTGGCTAAGAACCTGGTATTGATCCATAATACTGTGTCTCTCTATGGAGCCCAGAGTGGGAAACTGGGCAGACCCCTTCAGACTTTATCAAGAGCAGCGGGCCCCCATTGGGGCTCTGCTGTAAAAGCCATGTTCCCAGGATCTCTCCTGCCCTCTGAAGCCCGATGCATTGCCTCTTCTCCACAATAGAAAGGCAGACTTCTCAACCCCTTTTCTGGACAAAGAAACCGGGGTCCTTGGGAAAGCATATTGCTCTCTGTAGTCTCCTCACTTCTCGCTGTTCACAATTACATCTGTTAATTAGGCCAGCACATCAGGGAAACCCCAGGAGAAACCAGCGTCAAAACATGCTTATCCCAATCCATAGCTCGAGAGTGTTCCAAGCCTCTAATTGTTTTAAGCTTCCAGTTTCAGCTGCCAGCAGTGGTTTTCCAAAGGCAGCGTGCTCACAAACTAACAACAGCTTGCTGGGTGCAGAGGGTAATATGTTACATTTGAAAAATGTTTATATTAATAACAGCATCCCCCACCCAGGGCCTATTCAATTCTTGTTCTCCCAGCCAAATTGATTGTAAGCCTTACACAAAGGGAGAGATGCTTAACGAGTATCCCCATTGTCTCAGCCCTCCAATCATCCAGGAGATGTTAAAAGAAGGGAGGAAAACTTGGAGGACAGCCAGGGTCGTTCCCATGAAGCCTCTGCTGTGGGTCTTGGCCTCATCAAATAGGCCAACACTCTTCTTCAGCCCCTTGTCCCTCACCTATTTATTCTATAAACATGTAATGACAATCAGAGCTCCTCTAATTGAAAGATTTCCCTGTGAGACCCACTCTGCTAAGTACTTCAATTCATCATCTCATTTCACCCTCACAACAAGCCCTAGAGGCAGGCCTTATTGTCGTCCCTATTTTACAGATAAGAAAACTGAGGCGTGGAGACACTAAGTACATTATCCAAGTAGAAAGTGGTTGAAGTCAAATGAACTCCGATCCATATGACTCTAAAGCCTGTGTTGTTAAAACCCCTCCCCCACTCCCAGCAAGGAAAAAGCACTTATGCTTACTTCACTGGGGATACAAAGGTAAACAAGACTGAAGCCCTGAATGCATGGAGCTTGTAATCTGATGGGGTGAGAGACATTGAAACAGAGCATTTCAATTTAGGTGTGTGCTAGGATCTAGGGGCACCGTTGATGATCATATTCAAGTGTTGCAGTTGTTGGCTGCACTGCTAGTGCTTTCTTTATATATAATTTTATTGGGGGCTTGTACAACTCTTATCACAATCCACACATACATCCATTGTGTCAAGCACATTTGTACATTTGTTGTCATCATCATTCTCAAAACATTTGTTTTCTACTTGAGCCCTTGGTATCAGCTCCTGAGTTTTTCCCTCCCTCCCTGCTCCCCCCTCCATTATAAACCCTTGATAGTTTATAAATTATTATTATTTTGTCATATCTTGCACTGCCTGATGTCTCCCTCCACCCACTTTTCTGTTGTTCTATAAGCATCCTGAATATTGCCCTGTTCGCAGATACAATTGCAAAGGATATATGGCTTTGAACCCTACTAAAGACTGCTCCCTACATCTTGGACCTTGGCTCAGGAAAAGTTGGAGGCACTAATGTTAATATATCTCTGTACCTCAGAATTTATTGCCTCTCGTGACTTCCTTGACCTTGAAGATCACAGCCATACTTTCTTGCTTAAGGCTGCATTTGGACCCTCATGGGGTCAATGCTGGTTTTAGTTTGGGCGGTGAGCAAGGAAACGCTCATCCACAGGCACCCCTTAAGGAATTTGCATCCTTTCAAAACAGCCTTGTTTCAAGACGTTCGTTTGTATTCACCTGGTCGTCCACATTAGCTCCCAGGTTTTCTGAATGTGAAGGACAAGTTTATCCCTTCCTCTATATCTCTTCAGAGCCCTGGAGGCATAGTGGCTATAAGTTGGGCTGTGGTCCACAAGGTCTAAAGTTCAAAACCACCACTGGTTCCACAAGAGGAAGATGGGGCTTCCTACTCCTTTTTAGAGTTATAGTCTCAGAAACCCACAGGGATAGTTCTATGGCGTCACCATGAGTCATATTTTTTAAAATATAAATCATTTTATTGGGGGCTCATACATCTCTTATCGCAATCTATACATTCATCCATTGTGTCAAGCACATTTGTACATATATTGCCATAATCATTTTCAAAGCATTTCTTTCTACTTGAACCCTTTATATCAGCTTCTCATTTTTCATCCTCCCTCCCTCCCTCCCTCCCTCATGAACCCTCGATAAATTATAAATTTTTATTTTCATAATTTACATCATCCGCTGTCTCCTTTCACTCACTTTTCGAAACAGCGATCCTTAAAGAAAAAAACTGAACTGAAAATGAAAATATAAATCCAAACCAACTCCTGCCCTCCAGTCATTTTCAATTCCTAGGCTTGGCAACCCACAGGGTAGTTCAAGTCTGTCTTCCTGCGGAGTTCCTAGGAAATCAACTAACAGCTCTAAAATATTTAGTATGGACTTCAGACCACGACCTTCCATATAGAAGACACAGAGCACTCCTTTGTGAAGTATTTGTAGACCTTGCTTCCCTAGAAGAAAGTCCCAAAGCTCAGAAACAGCCCCATGTCGGATACCCTGCTATCAGGTGACAGAACCTTCGGAGATGCTCTGAGCATGTCTATGACAATGACCCACTCTCCTGAAATCTCAAGCCTCGCTACCCCGAGTCAGGCATTAGGAAAAGTATTTGGATAACCTCTCCTATGGGGAGCTTCTAAGAAAGGCGAAGCTGCCCATGCTTCTGACAAATTCACGATGCTGTGGCTGGTTTGAAACACATTCGTTTTGCAATCCAGCTGCTCAGCATCAGGTTTCATGTGTGACCTCACCCTGCAGACAAATGCACATCACGCATGGAGCTACCCAGCTTTCCCAGATACCTTAGCTATTTAGACATAGCAGGCCTCTTCTTTGTTACAAATGCCAAGAAACCAAAGTAATTGCCATCAAGGGTGAGTTTGAACTGCTGACCTTTTAGTGAGCAGCCGCACACTTAACCCACCATGTCACCTGGAATCCTTTCTTTTTTATGGGGCTGGGAAAACCAGAACAAATTCCATTGTCCATATGAGGTCCCCCAAGGCACAGAGAACTGATGTGAATCAAGGAAACGAAACTGGCTCCTGGAGAATTGAGACTAGCACCCGTCTTGCTTCCCTTCAGGACATTTACTGTCTTTCTCTTCTCGGGACTTCAGGACATTTTCATGTACTCCTTCACTTGTCTTCCTAACACCCCGACTTCAAAGGCTGTAAATAGCCTAAGCTAGGAGTCTTCCTTTGTCCTCATCAGTGCCTGGTATGTAGTGAGTGGCTGCAGTCAAACATTTAACTGAATCGGGGGGTGGTGGGAGGGAAGGAAAGCTTATGTCTGGAACACACCTTTCATTTATGGACAAAATTAAAGGTATGTTCAGGATTGGAACTGCCAACTAAGCAAGTGGTAGAGAGGAGGAAGGAAAGACGGAGAAAGAAGGAAAAGAAACAGGACGAGAAGATGAAGGCAGAAGAGGAGAATAGAGTGTATGATAGAATTCTGAAATGAAACTCCTACTTACCTACATCTGCTTTTTAAAATGTCCAAGTAGGTTAATGCAACATAAAGTCCACCATCGTGTACACTGCGCAGGCATGATAATGTGAATTAGTTTACTTTGAGATCAAATGTCTACCGTTAGGTAGCAACAGATGCGGTACATATAAGAGTCATTACGCTACCATTGAAGTCACCCAGTGCTACATTGGGTTAAGCACTTGGATACTAACCATCAGGATGAGGCTATAGACTTCTGTGAAGACTTACAGCCTTGGAAACCCTAAGGAGTAGTGCTACTCTGTCCATAGGGTTGCTGTGAGTTGGAATCAGCTCCGTGGTTGTGGATGTGATACCACTGACAGCATCCTCAAAGAGTAAATATCTTGCAGTCATCAGCTTCAACATGAATCACCTTTGGGCATTTAAGTCAGAGGATAGAACAGGGAAGCATGATACCTTAGCTTTCTAATTAC